CTAGCATTCATAGGCAATATTAATTCCACCTGGACAAAGACAAATCCATGAATTTGCCTTTGTGCATTTGGCATTCATATAGCCTGTGATTGCCAACTGAAAGCAGCTCAATCTTGCTTAACTAAAGTTTCTGTTCTTACATGAGTGTTACATTCCACGGTATTTTACCATAAACACAAGTGTAGATATTCAAAATATTGATGTCAAGCATCTGCTACAGCAACTGTAAAACCAAGAACTCTATAAATTGTCAAATAAATTAGTCCCTGTAATACCTGGTTTAGATGGGTTACACTGTATAACGCTGTTAAAAGCCTTTCAACAATAAACAACCCAATAGTATAATAGATCTATAAAATAATACATTCCATTCCCTCTTTACCTAAATTTGAAAATTCCCATTTTGCTAGTTTTACCAATGATCTTTTTTTTAGATATTAATCTTAAGGATCCCTGCACCATTACCGAAAAATGTGATTACCCATCGAAACTGTATTTGCAGCATCGCTGCAGATTTGATAAATTATTTGAATTAAAAGAAAAGCATACCTTGCATGAATTCTATGAAAAACACCAAAAAGATGGAATATATAAAAAAGGTCAACAAAGCGTTCTGAGTGTAAATATACAACAGGGCTAGACCAGGATTTGAACCCTGAACCTCAGATCATCATACCGTCTCTTTATCTAACTGAACCACCTATAGTTAACAGAAGTATTCTGGCCTGAAGTCGTACAGATATATCCAAAACAAAAAGTAGGGAAGGTTACCGTAATTGTACTATAGACCTGACTTGTGTTTAAACTGTAGTGGGACAAGGATCTTTAAACTACAGTGGAACTCTCTAGTGTTTAAACTTTAGTGGGACAGGGATCCTTAAACTACAATAGAACTCTCTAGTGTTTAAATTGTAGTGTGACAGGGATCCTTAAACTACAGTGGAACTCTCTAGTGTTTAAACTGTTCTGGGATGGAGATCCTTCAACTACAAATAATCTCTAGTGTTTAAAATGGTGTGGAACAGGGATCATTAAACTACAGTGGAACTCTCTAGTGTTTAAACTGTAGTGGGACAGGAATCCTTAAACTACAAGAATCTCTAGTGTTTAAAATGGTGACTGGGACAAGGATTTTTAAACTACAGTGGAACTCTCTAGTGGGGCAGGGATCCTTAAGGGCTTATATCCGAAAGAAAAACAAACTTGATAACCTCTCTATTTTCTATGAACTCTGGTGTTATGGACTGTAAGTAACCTAAAATCAATCAATTGATATCGCGATCACTTTGGTTCCGTATTTTAGTTAGGATGATACGTGTATTGATTTACTACAGAGATACTTATCATTGCTACAGAGATATACATGATGTATCACAGTTAATATCGTGTCATGTCTGTATGTACATACACTGCTCTTACGCTTCCCCGCTGTCTGAGATGCCCGGCCGAGAGACATACATCGATGCTTTTTTGTGATTGATGTTACCTAAACTAGAAGTCAAGCAACTTAAAAGCTTTCTCGTGCCATAACTATGTGTTATTTATCAGGGGAAAAGAAAACTATTATATTTTTGGAAATAAATGGACTGTATATATATACATTAAGTGTAAAACCAATTATTGGCGCGTCGTTGGTACAGATCTTATAGGGTCATACATTGCTTGTACTCTCGTAGTTGTAAACATGAAATTGGACATGAGTAATATAAGTTAGCTTCCTTTCTGTCCTAGCTGACAAAGAGACAGCCTGGCCAAACATTGATAGCTTTATGATTTGTAAGAGAAATTAGAATACTAGCGAATTATCTCCCTTTTTTCTTGTTGAGTAGTGTAAGCATCACAATATTTGAATAAAAGAATAGTGACACAAAATTATCTCCCTTTGGTCTGGTTGTTTGTTGTTGGCATCTCAATAAGAAAGGGAAAATTCTGTCGTGACTACGTGTCAAATCATTTCTGATAAGAAAACCATAACTTGCGCATCATTTATGAGAAATAATAAATATGAAATAAACAAAATGTAATCAACAGCAGTGTTCGGAGTTTAAAATAAATGAATCATGGCTTAAAACCGAGATTCAAATTTCTGGACCTCAGATTGATATACTATCGCTCTAACTGATTGAGCTACCTGGTCAACAGAAGTGTCCTGGTCAAACTGTGCTACAAATATGTCCTAACGGAAGTGAAGGGGAGGTAACTGTATATAGGAAAATCTACAGTACAGTGGGACAGGGATCCTTAAGGAAGTTAAGGGAAGGGTACTGTATATAGAAAAAAACACAGTGCAGTGGGACGGGGATCCTCAAAGAAAAAATTGACGAAGAATAGCAATTGTGTATCAAATCTCACAGGTCGCAATTTATGTCAGATACAGAATGTGGGTATCATGGAGGATGTTCTGTCAAGTGGATAGATCAAGTTAGAAATAACATGCGTCTCAAAAAACACTTAACACACTCCATAGTGTAGTAGTGACTGTCTGTTGTCATTGTTTGACCTTTGACCTGCCTGATGCTTGACTTGTTTCATTTGAGCTATAAAGTGAAATCCAAGGTTTGTCATTCGAAAAATGTGGTATGGTGTCAAGAATTAGATATTATTCCTCAATGTTTACATGTCAAAACTTCAAAAAAACCAATGGATTTTATATTTGGGTGAAGAGGCCTATCCCTTAACATCCTTTGCTGGTCTGAGCAGGTTTGTAATCTTTCACCGTATCTTCAAATGCTATATGCCAAAGAGGAAGCTCGCTATGTGGTTGTAACAGGGACAGTTCATTAAAACCCTTTGAGTGCTAGTCACAACTATAGTTGCGCTGTATGTCTGTGGCCACCACTGCTAGTCACAACTATAGTTGCGCTGTATGTCTGTGGCCACCACTGCTAGTCACAACTATAGTTGCACATTCTATAAAATGGTATTTTATATGGTCAACAGCTAATCGTGTTGATTAAAATTTAATCAAACATATCAAATAACCAATTTCCATTGGTATTAATATGTTTTAATATTAACACGAGTATTATTTTTGCAATATTTTTACTAAAATTGTGACTTATGAAGTTATATCTAAATTTGAACTGCAGCGAAAATTAAATTTTCCTAATTAATTCTTTAATGTAGCACTCTAAGGGTTAAGATGTCAGGTTTTGTTGGTCATTAGGGCCCGGGAGTGGGGATAGGAGGGGGGATTACCATAGACATGCGAAGATGGCATTCCAAGAATTTTACCTCTAATTTGCACATATAGGTAAAATTTCTATATTTCCTGTACCTGCATAAAAAACAACATTCCTTCTCCCATCCCTTAACGAGAATTTTGGTAAAAAATTGTACTAATCATTGAGTTAAATTTAAATATAGTCAAACTTCCATAAATCGAACTTCAAAGTTTCAAATTTCTCGATTTGTCGAACTTATGACAAAGCCAGGAATTCTACCCTTAGATAACACTACTTATGTTCTACTAATTAGTCAGTAACTTATATTTAAGTACTAAAATCAAGGTCTGTTCATTATTTAAAACATCAAAAATTACAACTCATAAAACAAAGTGAAACAAATTACTTGTACATTAACAAGTGTACAGGCATCAGAAACTGTATTGGTAAACAAAGAAATATTGAATTGTATAAGGTCCCTATGTAAACTACAGGGTATAAATACACATGCTATTCTTATTGCTGCAAATCAATGTTAAAAAATTGTGAGTCGTAGTCCCGATGTTTCTATTTTTTCTTGATGGTTCTTCAATGTTTGAAACATGGAAGTTTGACCCTAGCAGACTTTCCATATACTGTACAAGATAACCGAGAACATATCTGAATAGAACAGAAAACACAAAAACAAACAGTGAAAGATTGACAGCAGTTTGGTTACAATCTTTCACTTCCATAAGGCAATAACAGTTGTCCAAAGTATTTTAGCGGTAGATAGTCTTCTCAGCTCATCAAAATGACAATTCTCTAAACATTTTCTTCAGGTTGGTAAGTATGGATTATGAGAAGTTCTTTTACACAACCAATAAAATGTTCTATGTGAAGTTTCGATGACTTAAGTACGATATGCACACTGTCATCTTCAGACAAATGACCAGTGAAGCGTATGAACACAAAAGGTGTAAAATGTTGTGTGCATACGCTTTATTGGTCATTTGTCTGAAAAAGGTGTACATATCGTACTAGTCATCGAAACGTCACCTACAACATTTTATTGGTTGTGTAAAAAGAACTTCTTATAATAAAAATGACAATTCATTGACCTCATGTATCACACTGAGACAATACCACTTTTAGTAATATCAGACAATACACTGAATATTTTGTTTTTAGGGCTTTTCACCGTCAGGATTTTGGAGTTGTTTCGGTACTTTGAGTTCTTTGATTTATATTAAACTGGAAAACAAAGTTTACTTTCTATACCATGGTTTATGATATATTAACCCTTTCTTCATAGAGGGTAAAGACCATTAGGTATAAGAAAAGGTTTACGATTAAAGACCAAATCAGTCATAACGGTGAAAACTCGTCAAATTGTTAGCGAACAATTTCCAGTTCAGTTTGTTTTATGCTCCTCGTAGTAAGTCTAAAGAAAAACTTACATTCCGAACAAGAGGTCATTTAGTGCAATTATGCAAGATACACGTATCCTGCATGAGTGTTCCACACAGGATTTGTGTTTAGAGGTGCGAGAAAAAGGAAACCTGTCCTTCTTGATCACGAATCTGTTCCTGACTCATGGTCTTCTTATTTCATTGATGTTAGCCCCTGTGTAGTGGGCAGTGCTGGTGTAGAGAATGTTTTGATAGTATATTATACTGGTCTTACTGTGACATCAGATTCATTATCTACCGTAAATATTTGTGTATAATGTGCAAGTATGTTTTGGGTGATTTTTTTTTTTTTAAATTGAAAAAAATGTAAAAAACATATTGAGTACAAATCATGAAATAAAATGTCAAATAATTTATTTAAAAATTTAATATTCTTCATTTTCAGAGGACCAGTTGAAAGTCATGAATGACTGGTGTACGTGACAGTGAGGTGAGTAAATCTTTACACAGTTATCTCCCTTGAATTAAAGTGGTAACTGCTGTTTAATTTAAATTAGTTCAATATATAATGAATTATAGATCAGAGAAATTGTTGTGGAAGAGACAACTACAATAACAGGCAGATCAGATTCACAAGATAGAGAGATGAACAGATGACAAACCAACAGCTTTAAATAAGCTTAACAAATATACCTATTTATTTACCACGACAGGTACACAACTGTTACATACTTAGTTACTAGACCAACAACAGGCAGATACCTCTTTAAACCTGGACAGACAAACGCACAGACAGACATCGAGATCAATAAAAAAGCTAGAGACAGCTACTCAGATACACAGACACAGACAGACATCGAGATCAATAAAAAAGCTAGAGACAGATACTCAGATAGACAGACAGACACAAACACACAGATAGACAGACAGACACAAACACACAGATAGACAGACAGACACACACACACAGATAGACAGACACAGACAGACAGACACAGATAGAGAGACACACACAGACAGACAATGTAGATCAAGATAGCTCAATAAAAAACTAGACAGAAAGAAAGCCTTAAGCAGCTCAATACAAATACAAACACAGACAGAGAAGAACTGAGATCAAGGCAGCTGAATAAAAGGCTACAGACAGACAGACAGACAGAGAAACACTGAGATCAAGGCAGCTGAATAAAAGGCGACAGACAGACAGACAGACAGACACACACACACACACACACACACACACACACACACACACACACACACTGAGATCAAGGCAGCTGAATAAAAGGCTACAGACAGACAGAGATAAACACTGAGATCAAGGCAGCTGAATAAAAGGCTACAGGCAGGCAGACAGACAGACAGACAGACTGACAGACAGAGAAACACTGAGATCAAGGCAGCTGAATAAAAGGCTACAGAAAGACAGACAGACAGACACACAGACAGACAGAGAAACACTGAGATCAAGGCAGCTAAATAAAAGGCTACAGACAGACAGACAGACAGACAGACAGACAGACAGACAGACAGACACAAAGACACACAGACACACAGACAGAGAAACACTTAAGATCAAGGCAGCTGAATAAAAGGCTACAGACAGACAGACAGAGAAACACTGAGATCAAAGCAGCTGAATAAAAGGCTACAGACAGACAGACAGACAGACAAACAGCCATCAGACTACAGGCAGAGGCAGACTGAGAAGTTGTTTTACCACATAGTGATGGACAAGTTCTATGTGACATATGATTCTACAAGTTAAGTATGTGACGTGACGTATGATACAGAGAGGGAAGTGGGATGGAGAAACCAACTATTTGCATCATACACTACACACTAAGTATGATGTGTATGTACACAATGAGGATGTAACTAGGTGGGGGGCTGAACGGAAGACATTGCTACGTATAATGACTTACACAGATATAGCTGTGTTCTAAAATTTTGATTAATTAATCAATTTTATTTGGATCGTAATCAAGGATAACAAGGTAGAGTATATATCTACAGAATGTGAGTTTGGGGCCAGGGAACGGCACAATTCTGAATATTGTTTTCCTCATTTGTGTTTATATATGTTAGATATCAAATTATGATAAACACAGAGAATAACTATAGGATCTCTGAGGTGTACGTTGAGCTTGTAATCTTACTGTATTTAGTATACACAGACTATCTAATGTATGTGACAGGTGTTTGTGTCATTTTACCATGCTGTATAACACGAAATGTTCGTTGATACTTTCCTTCGTGGTTTGAAGCCATTTAAATAATTCCTTGGCACAAACTTCCGTGGATATCCTGTATTTACAAACAGTAGACATGTATATCATTAGCAACCACGAATATCACGAAAGTTTATACAACATGAACATTTCATGTTATACATTATTTAATTGATAAATTGTTTTCTAAACTTTTGTCGTTATTATAACGATGAGGTTCATTAACAGAAATAAAGTAGTTACCTAAGATTTTGTGTATGCTCTTCCCTGCTGTCTAATGTGTTTGACAAGATTTTGGATACCCTCTGTTGGACAAGATGATCTCGGGGCCATTCTCATTGCCTTTATTCTGGACAAGGTTATAAAGGATGAAACTGATATGTTATTTTGATCCTAAAAATGTAAGATGTTACAATGAGGGGTGGGAAAATCCTTGGTAAATTTTGATAAATCTCTTTGACAGTACATTTGAAGGTCGCTACACCTGATGACCTTGTACCTTGAATTGACATGTTTATAATAATTAATAAGCTTTCCTAATGATCATGCTGGATATTTTTTGTGTGTTCAAAAAACAGTGGCCCCTGTACACAAAAGTGTACTCACTCCAGTAATTTGGTAATTAAAACAACTTTTTTTCCCCAGCTTTTTTATTTTGAGTGATTTAACCTTGGACTGGTGACCTTTTGACCCCTGACCTCTGTCACCAAGTCAACCTTCAAGCAGCCATGGGAGAACCTACAGCCAAATGGAACCTCCTGCAACTTGCCTTTATAGCGGTCTACCCAGCATGCCTGTCCTCTATACGGATGGTAGACGGTAAGTCTATATAAAGTAATGTTACTTGCCCCTTTCATAGCGGTCTACCCAATGTGCCTGTCATCCATACGAATGGTAGACGGTAATTCTATATATATAGTTATGTTGCCTTTCCCTTTCATAGCGGTCTACCCAGCGTGCCTGTCCTCTATACGGATGGTAGACGGTAAGTCTATATATAGTGATGTTACTTTGCCATTATAATGGTCTACCCAGCATGCCTCTCCTCTATACGAATGGTAGACGGTAAGTCTATATAAAGTAATGTTACTTGCCCCTTTCATAGCGGTCTACCCAATGTGCCTGTCATCCATACGAATGGTAGACGGTAATTCTATATATATAGTTATGTTACCTTGCCCTTTCATAGCGGTCTACCCAGCGTGCCTGTCCTCTATACGGATGGTAGACGGTGGGTCTATATAAAGTAATGTTACTTTGCCATTATAATGGTCTACCCAGCATGCCTCTCCTCTATACGGATGGTAGACGGTAAGTCTATATATAATAATGTTACTTTGCCATTATAATGGTCTACCCAGCGTGCCTGTCCTCTATGCGGATGGTAGACGGTAAGTCTATATATAGAAATGTTACTTTGCCATTATAATGGTCTACCCAGCTTGCCTGTCCTCTATACGGATGGTAGACGGTAAGTCTATATATAGTTATGTTACCTTGCCCTTTCATAGCGGTCTACCCAGCATGCCTGTCATCCATACGAATGGTAGACGGTAAGTCTATATAAAGTAATGTTACTTTGCCATTATAATGGTCTACCCAGCGTGCCTCTCCTCTATACGAATGGTAGACGGTAAGTCTATATATAGTAATGTCACTTTGCCATTATAATGGTCATGATACCCAACGTGCCTGTCCAATTGTAGATGGGAACAGGAGTGCAAAAAATGCACAGACAAACCAGGGTTCGGGCCTGGGACTATCTGAACACTGGACGGACATTCTACCAATTGAGCGAACTGTAGAAATTTGCCATTTAAGCAGACTGGTTTCGTAATTTATTTTGGGTAGCCTCACCTTTAAATATTATCTTTCAAGTGAAATTTTGAATGTTTCATGTCTTTGAGCTCCTGCCACGAGATGGAAAGACATCGGTAGTATTGCCCATGTCTGTTCATCCCTGCTTGAGTCTATCATGCAGTTAGTTCGTCTCTCCAGTGCAAATTAATTTGTTGATTTCCATAAACCTTATACAAGTGATGGGAACAAAAGTAGCTTCCACAAGTTTTCATCCTAGAGGTATGCCAGTGTTAAAAAAACTGAATGATAAACCCATAGACAATCACCATGACAAACACTGTAGGTATATGGGACTCATTTACTTCATAGACCAAGTTGTCTATAAAGTTATTTCCTTAGGCCAAATCAAATTAATTACTTGGTTCTCAGGCTATTTTTTTCAAAATAGATGCGGCAGGGCAGTATTATTTTTTTCCATTTTACATGGCAAAAACGAGAGGAGGGCGATTTTTTTTTTATTGTGTATTTTTTAAAACGTTCATTGTGGATATTACCTTGTCTTTTTATTGTTGTGTAGAGACTCGTCATAGAGCAAGTCTCCGAAAATCCCCCCACGATGTTCCAGACGAGAATCACGAACCCCCCATTCTTTATTTGTACCGAAATGAGCGCCATTTGTACACAAGACTAATAAGTCATAATCATTTTAACGCTTGCCTGTATCTCAATCCTTACCTTTATTCAAACGTTTTCGGGACTTGGGTAGCTAACGGGTAAAAACGACATGCAGACCAATTTTCCGGATTTTTTTAAAGATGGCGGCTGGCACATTCACAATTTTTTTTTTATTACTTTCACGATAAAATCGGCAATGCGCACGGTGCCATGAAATGCGCGCGGGCCTGAGAACCAAGTTATCAAATTTTTTTGGCCTTATGGTGAGTATGATTCAGTAACAAGTAGAATGGTTAGGGAAAAAGTGTTCAGTGAAAATACTTTTCTTACTTATATTCCACATATTTAATTTATTTTGTGTTAGCAAGCACTAAATTACAAGACAATATTTCTTGGCCAAGATATGGGCCCATTTTCATGACCCTGTGCCATAATTCTGTGCACAAGCCAGCTTTCTCTTAACTCCCTTAAATCATGTAACATGGTCTAAAGTCAGTTGTAAGCATTGAAAACAGCATTTAGCTTGAAATTTTTCCAAATTTCTTACTTTGATAACATTGATTTTTTTTATTTTATATTAATTTATCACTGGCGCAAGAAATTGGGATTGAGCACAGAATCTGGGTTTGAGCATCATGGAACGGTTTCATTAGTACGGCCCCTGGTCTATGAAAATTTCATTAATCCTATATAATTAAGAAGTCAATATTACGTAGACCTATTGTCTCAGGTGTGTAGAGGCTAAGATTGATTATACACACAAGGTCAATATATTGCTTTGTCAATGGAAACTTTAAGTCTGACATGACATCTTTACGGTGATGGTGGTTACGATCTTGTTGCCATTCGGCCACGGTGACATCTTCCTCTGTACTGTACCATTGGTTAAGAGATCACCGCACTGTGTCGCGGAATCTTAAGACATTTACTGTACGATTCCCAAGGCATAGTCTCCAATACACACCAATATCTGGAGTCAATTTAGACATGACAGTGGTTCTGTCATTGAGAACAAAATGAATGGAGTTTTATCGTCAGAAATCATAATGATTCATCCAGTGTTTGATAGGAATTTGTCGGAAAAATCTGAGGATATTGTTTGGGGAAATTGTTTCTGAGACATTCTGAACAAATGTTTGAGGAGAAATTTGTATTAATGGTGTTGAGATTACGAAGCCAACAAGTAATATTTCTGATGAAACACTCCTACACAGTCAAACTTTCACCCTTTGTCGGTTAAATCCGTATTTGTCCAGGTTTAAACTTTCACCCTTTGTCGGTTAAATCTGTATTTGTCCAAGTTTAAACTTTCACCCTTTGTCGGTTAAATCTGTATTTGTCCAGGTTTAAACTTTCACCCTTTGTCGGTTAAATCCGTATTTGTCCAGTGTTAATTTCGACCTTCACTCTATAAGCATTGAACTGTTTTTGTATGGCATTTATGATCTATTTGAATGACACACCTTTGCAGACAAACAAACAATAATGCCCGCTAGTTCAATGCTTATATTTACGTTTTCTTCGCTTTTCACATTTTTTTTTAGCTCACACATTATATTTAAAATTTAAAATTCCCGCCGTATCGACAGTCTGCACAAATTTGTTAAATAACTGGAACAGCGCAGTGTCGAGTGATGATTGGCTGAGAAAGTGCAGTGTCGAGTGATGATTGGCTGAGAAAGCGCAGTGTCGAGTGATGATTGGCTGAGAAAGCGCAGTGTCGAGCGATGATTGGCTGAGAACTTGTGGTGGATGTCATTTAAAGTGTCATCAACCACACAGCTCTCAAGAAGTTGATCTAGTGACAATGCCATACAAATGTAAATATATTTAATTACTCTGCATATTATTGTTCGCTATATTTGCTATAATGATAGATATGCCTAGGCCTCATTATAGAAGATGAAAAAGGCGAAAATTAAACTGCAGAGAACATTTCCCAGGAACAGGAAATCAACTGTGGTTATGAACTGATATGAAGACGATCTCATTTATTAATCTACCATTGCTAAAAATACCAAGAACTTTACGATTCATAAAATATTTAACCAGTGACACCATAATTTTGTGACTTTGAAGCCGAGGTTCTGGCCCCAAATTTTGCACCCAAGGGTAGAATATCCGCTATTCAACACACCTACATAACGATTTCTCCCACCTCTTTAGGAAGAGTTGAAAAGCACTGAAGCCCCCCCCCCCCTGCTCATAGGGTTATATTTAACACTAAACATATCCCTAAACCGTGAGTTGGGATTGATGGAGCCTAGAGTAGTTATGTGATAAATATCAATATAGGTAGGGCCCTATAGAAGTAGTGTGGCTTACCCAGCGTGAGGAGAGAACATTCCTCACATAGGGGGTAATGGGTTCAGTCAGTTTACATTAAAATCAAGGATGGACAGAAGGATCAGGCTTGCTGGGTCATTGATCTCGGAGAAGACTCCAGGAAAACCATCTCTAATTTGTTTTATGTTCCATTTGTCCCCTGGGCCAATATCTTCTACGATTGTAATTTACTTTGAACTGTTGTTCTGTACAGAAGTAATTCTAACTTCCTGGAACTAGAGACTGTCCATATACACACATATATAGACAGGTGTCTTGGTCATACTAGCTTTCCTGGAACTAGGGACTGTCCATCTACACACATATATAGACAGGTGTCTTTCTGGTACTAGCTTTCCTGGAACTAGGGACTGTCCATCTACACACATATATAGACAGGTGTCTTTGTAATACTAGCTTTCCTGGAACTAGACGCTGTTCATATACACACATACATAGACTGATGTCTTTCTAGTATTAGCTTTCCTGGAACTAGAGACTGTACATATACACACATAGATAGACAGGTGTCTTTCTGGTACTAGCTTTCCTGGAACTAGGGACTGGACTTATACACACATATAGACAGGTGTCTTTCTGGTACTAGCTTTCCTGGAACTAGGGACTGGACTTATACACACATATAGACAGGTGTCTTTCTGGTACTAGCTTTCCTGGAACTAGAGACTGGCCATATACACACATACATAGACGGGTGTCTTTGAGGTACTAGCTTTCCTGGCATTAGAGACTGTCCATATACACACATATATAGACAGGTGTCTTTGTAATACTAGCTTTCCTGGAACTAGGGACTGGACTTATACACACATATAGACAGGTGTCTTTCTGGTACTAGCTTTCCTGGAACTAGAGACTGTTCATATACATACATACATAAACAGGTGCCTTTGAGGTACTAGCTTTCCTGGAACTAGACACTGTCCATATACACCCATACATAGACTGGTGTCTTTCTAGTATTAGCTTTCCTGGAACTAGACACTGTCCATATACAC